ACACAACACACAACACACACACACACACACACACACACACACACACATATATATATATATATATATATATATATATATATATATATATTTATATATATATATATATATATATGTATATAGGGGGAAGGGAAGGGAGAGAGAGAGAGGAGACGAGAGAGAGAGAGAGAGAGAGAGAGAGAGAGAGAGAGAGAGAAGGAGAGGAGAGAGAGGAGAGGAGAGGAAGGGAGAGGAGAGGAGAGGAGAGGAAGAGAGAGGGAGAGAGAGGAGAGGAGAGAAAGAGAAGAGAGAAGAGAGAGAAGAGAAGAGGAGAGTGAGAGAGAGGAGAGCGAAGCGAGAGCGAGAGAGAAGAGAGGAGAGAGAGAGAGAGAAGAGAGAGAGAGAGAGAGAGAAGAGAGAAAGAGAGAAGAGAGAGAGAGAGAGAGAGGGAAGAGTGAAGAGAGAGAAGATATATATATATATATATATATATATATATATATATATATATATATATATATATATATATATATATATATACATATATATATTATATATATAATATATATATATATATATATATATATACAATATATCATATATAATATAATATATATCTTATATATATAGATATATATATATATATTATATTATATATAATATAAATAGATAAATAAATATATAAAAGAATAGAATAGATAACTAGAGAGATGAGAGAGGAGAGAGGATTATATAGATGAGATAAATAGATAGATAGAGTAGAATAGATAGAGAGAGAGAGAGAGAGAGAGAGAGAGAGAGAGAGAGAGAGAGAGAGAGAGAGAGAGAGAGAGAGAGAGAGAGAGAGAGAGAGAGAGAGAGAGAGAGAGAGAGAGAGAGAAATGGAGAGAGAGAGAGAGAGATAGATAGATAGACAGAAAGATGGATAGACAGACAGACAGATAGAGAGAGAGAGAATACAATACGCCCTGTGCATTAGCTGTTTCCATAATCGAACACACACACGAGTCCAGTGTTGCTGCTAAAATTCCCGACGCTCTCGCAGCCGCTGGGGAAAGCACAGAGAAGAAATGGACGAAGAGGAAGCACATTATCCTCTAAACAGTGGAATATTACGCTGGGAATCAGAGAGGCTTCAGAGAGCATGCGAAGCTTCCTTTGTCCCACACGGAGGCTTTGTGGTGCGCTTCCTCTTCAGTCAATCTGGTGATCTGGTCCCCATAGACTCCAGAATTTATTTCTCTCTTTGAGGGAACATTCATCACATGAAGGAGGGAGCTTGATGGTGGACACGTGATTGTTTCCACATCAATTATCTGTTTTTTTTTTTTTTTTTTTTTCTTTTTTTTTGTTTTTTTTGTTTGTTTTTTTTGTCTCGAGTGGTATGAGAAAAACGAGGAACGGCCACCAGGTGCAGAAATGTTCACAATGTGACTCTTAAATCGATATCTTTTCCAATGGGAGAATTATACTAATTTCTCTTTTCTTTCTTAGCGGATGCTGATATATTCCGAGAAAATCCGAAACCTCCGACCAGGCGCGGTATGTCCCCTTTTTTCCCGCGTGCGGCATTTCTGCAGCATTCCGCTCGCAACAGCGATCACCAAACCAGGCGACTAACAAGCGAGGCAACGGCGGCGCCCCCGGAAAGCAGGCCATCGAGGCGTGGGCGTGGGCGTGGGCGCAGCAGCGACGTCGACAGGAGGCCCGGCTGACGAGGCGAGGCGGACGGGCGGTGATGTGTTGGGGCAGCATTTAGTTGTCTCTCGGGAACATCAGGACAAACACAGTGTTAACGCGACCAATGGCGGTCATAAAGTGCTCTGAGGCGACACTGATTGCCGGCAGCCCGGACTCACCTGTGGGGATATCGGAGCCGCGTTAATGAGATGGCGACTCTGTGGGCGAGGCGGGCGAGGCGGGCGAGGAAACCAAATTCGGGGTTTGTGCGGACGCCTGAGGGTGGCGGAGGTGGGGTGGGTGGGGGGGGGATAGACGAATAGACGCGCAGTTGGTCGACATAGACACGTCCACGCACACGCACACACTTAGACACTAATGCATATCACGGATAAAGTATAATCAAAACAAAGACGTAGGTAGAAAGGTGCACAGAGGGAATGGAAGAGACAGAAACAGAATGACTGATGAGGAAAAGATAAGAGAAGCCTTCCAAACAAACATATCAGTATTAGAGGAAAAGGAATATTCACGAAACAGCTTAAAAAAAAAAAAAAAAAAAAAAAAAAAACTCGTCTGATTTCCTGTGAATCAACATCTTTTTCAGTATTTTATCAATACAAAACTATTCTATTACTAATTTGAAACGTTGTCAACGGATCCCCCTGGAAATTACCACAATCTTAACTTCTTTCGTAACTCTTGTTTATTCTCCTTCTCATCCACAGTTTACTCTTCTTCTCATCCACAGTCTTCGTCGCTGTTTATCGGCAAATAAGTATCCATTTCGCTACCCACATTGCGCCTTTTTGTCTTTGCGCAAAAACCACAGTCCGAGCACAGGTGGCGCCAAGCAGTGATTTATTTCAGACAGCGATTGTCTACACTCGCACAAAACAACATCAGCGCTTTATCACACTGCCTCTTTATCACATAATCCCCTTTATCACATACTCTGTCGGATTCTTTTTTTTTTATTCAATATCCTTGATCGCTCTCTTATTCATACTCCTTCCTTTATCACGCTGCTGCTTTTGACACACTACTCCTGTTAGGACGCACATTACACTCTTTATCACGTTTTCTTTACCACAACACAATGCACTCTTTATTTATCACTGCCTTTACCACATTACTCCCTCTATCTCATTCTCTTTAACGCAATGCTCTTTATCACATTTCTTTCTTCACTACATTGCTCCCTTTATCACACCAGCCCTTCGTGTCCGGGCAATTCCTTGGACTAATACTATTGACCGATAGACCCGCTCTTCTTACGCATTTTGCTCTTCGTCTGCGAGTATCGTCCGGTTTTCTTATCACCGGGATCATTATGCGTCCCCTTTTGACAGTCTGAGCCAATTGCGGGAGTATCAGCTGGTCTTTTTGTCTTGGCGTTTATTTGCAATTGATAAGTCGACGAGTCTAGACTTTGTGCTTATCTTCGTACTGCAATACGATATATTTAGCAAGTACTACCGTGCAAAGTTGACCTTTAGTGATATCCTCAAGCTTGAGAAGACACGCTATAATGACCCCAGTTGGCTGTCACCACGTATGATACAATTGGCCATTGCTATCACGGCGCCTTCGTTTTGACTCATCGCTTATCCCGCTGACACGCTTCGACGTTATCTGCAGCATGATCTAAAACAGCCTTGAAGTCGCGCAGAGACACTAATGCCAGTCAGCAGTGCCACCACGTACTGTCAGCCTCGAACGCCAAGTGATAACTGACAGGTGGAATTATCTTTTGGTGGCAGTTTTCGTCCTCCTGTGTTGAGGTATTTTGCGACCAACACTACTTCAGAAAGGAGTGTTGTGTTTTGCACTTACGAAAGAAAAGAGATGAATATAAGAAAAAGAAGAAAAAGGGGATAGAGGGGGAGGCGAATATTCTTTTCTTTCGTTCGATTTTCATCAGTTTTTTTCTACTTTTTTCTCTTCGCTTGTCACACTTCGTCTGCTTTATATGATTATACGTACGTCTCTCTCTCTCTCTCTCTCTCTATCTCTCTCTCTCTGATTCTATCGATTCCCTCTCTCCCTCTCTTTCTTTCTCTCAGTCTCTCCTCCCTCTCTCCCTCTCTTTCTTTCTCTCAGTCTCTCCTCCCTCTCTGACTATCCCTTTGTCTGCCCCCATTCGCTCTCTCTCATGAATTCCTTATTCTAGAAGCGTTTGTTACATAACGGACGAACATCAGTCCACAGTCCCCTGGCCCTTATCGCATTTTTGCATTGTCCGGAATTCTTCCTCTTTTTTCTCCCTTTTTCTTGTGCCTCTATTCAAACAATCAGTTTTCCGTTCATTATTATCCTTTCTATTAACCCGGATTATTATGGATATCCTGATGACGTCCTTAAAAAATCTCTTAACGTCAGGTTTGAAAAATTTTCCCTTTTCTGCTTACTTCCCCTATTCATTGCGAAGAGCCTTCCCTTGCTAAAGCCTTTTACAGGAAACCTCTATACCAAAGCCAAGAATAATTATTTTTTTCTTTTATACGAGGAATAGTTACGCAAGCTGAAACGAAAACTCTCTTACGCAATCAGATGAGTTTATCTCTTGTTTTCGTTCAGAATATTATTCGAACATGTATTTCATTTCTGAATTGGTAAACAAAACAAGCCCCGGCAAGTTCCTCCTCCGCAGAGAGAGTCCCGAGGCAGCACCTTGCTCCACATCGACGCCTCCCCCCCCCCCCCCCCCCCCATCATCAGCTGCATTTCTGACCTTCTCGATTTTCTGGCAGGCGCCGTTCCATTAATTATGGACGGAGAGAAAAATGGTCTTCTCCGGAGGTTTTGACTCGCTCTTTTTCCAGAAGAGAAAGGGTTGGATTTTGAGAGCTCGGTAGGTCCAAGAGGCTTATTTTTTGTGTTGTGACGGAGTCGGGATATCTTAAAAAGTAACGAAAAGAAGCATAAGTTTTTTTTTTTTTTATTTTCACCCTTTTGTATATATATTTACTCCATTATTCTAGACAAAGTAATTGTTGTCAGTTCTTAAAGAAGGACAGTGGAAACTGCCACGAGATTCCAAACCTCATCGAAACACTTTCAGTCCTTGGCCGCGAGGGTATCTAAGCAGAAGTAGAGACCAAGGAAAACACGGTGATTTCTAACAAGGCCACCTCCCCCCCCCTCCCTCCCCGCTCCCCTCTCCCCTTCAGACCTAAGACAAGCCTTCGGATCTCCCTCTCCCCCGACCTCCACTACCTGCATCCCTCCCCCCTTACATATACAACGATCCTCCTTTTATCCCCCACGTATACACTGACTCCCTGACCCTCCCTTTAGCCTCCACATATACATTGCCCCCCCCCCCCACTAGCCCCCTTTGC